ATGATGATGATGATGATGATGATGATGATGATGATGATGATAGTTTCGTCTTCCCCGCCCTCTTCTTATACACAAATGACGAAGTGTTCCTCAATTCCGAAATATCTTCATTGGCGGAGGAGTTACGTTTTTGTTCTGAGACTCTCCTTTCTCAATTCCCTCTGCTCATGCTTTTCCATATGACTGTGCTTATGATACAGAGTATTTTAAACATTGTAGCGTGTAGGCCTGTTACTGGGTGACGACCTCGAAAAAAACGAAAAAGTTTCGGTGCTAGGAAACAGATTCTTATTAAGCAAGTATACTCAACCATAATCAGTAACGTCTTCGCAATCAAACACGTTCCCTCAGAAACGACTGGAATACAAAAATGAAGGGTGTTTTCTACGCGGTCCGTGCCGAAATGTTATAACGGAGATAAGTTTAGAAGATAGTGTTCGGTAGTAGGAGGGGGTCTACGATGAGAAAGGCTTATTCAGTGCAGTTGAAGAATCCCCACTTTTAGAGGCCGTTACCAGGGAAGGACCGGTGAAGACGCAGAAGACTGAAAAGACTTAGTGTGTGCTGTAGCAATTTATGAAGTGTTGAGATCAGCGATTGCGCTATAATTAATTGTAGTAACGGGTCATATGTTAAAGTGGTCAATATACTGCCACATGTATTAGTGATTTTAGACGCGGGTTTGGCTCGGTGAGTAGATTTATTGGGTCTTCACCAGGCGGTACTACATTTAATTACGACACTTTCAATCTTACTGTAACTTATAACACTTCGTCCCTACAAACAGTGATAACGCTCTAAAGGTTACTGTAACTACACGACATAAAATAAAGACTTCACTTCCGACTTCTGACTTCTGATTTCTTCCTCTGACGTCTTCTTCTGGCTTCTGCGTCTGAGCTCTGAACTCACGGCTCATTCCTGGTTATTACTGTTAGCTGGCCGTGATAGCAGACACCGCCACAAACGGTTCTGTTCTGCTCTTTTTGAGATTGCTTTGTGTCGGAAACCACTGTAATTACCGTGGTTACCATATCTGCAGCCATGTATTTGTTTACAGCGTACACTCGGAACGTGTATGACCAATCGTTAACTAGCAATAGCTGACTTCATTGCAGGAACAATGTTTACCTAGCCGTTGGCTAGCAATAGACGTTTGCTTAGATTTCGATGTTCCGGCTTTTAGGCGGCACGTCACAATGTCCAATCTCCGATCCAAATCCTGTATACAGTCACTCCAACATGTGACAAAATTACGTACTATGAAATTTTCTTCATACAGCTAATAAACTTGTGATACTTTTAAAACTCTTGTCTATAATTTACCATCAAGAAATACTACAGTCAAACGGCACTAATATGAGAATTCTTACGAGGACAATCCATAGATAACAACAAAGTTTGTCCTCAAAAGCTATGAGTCTTATTCTAATTAATTCTGTTACTTGCTTATTAGTAACAATGCAATGTAATGTTAACTGAAATTGTTCGATTTTACCGAATGATCCCGGTAGTCCCATGTAGCATGACTGCTATATAGACTAAAGACCATAAAATTATATTGAGTTTGGAGTTCGCCTTACCCATTAGCTTCTCTTCGTTATCATATACATATTGACGATTTTTTTCAAAGTCCACTTGAAGTTTATAACCACCATACTCCTCTGGTAAGACTTCAGGCGGGATGAACTTGTGAAGCGATGCCCAATCTTGTCCGTGAAAATGGATCTGTAAGCGTGAAATACGTTTTCATTTGTACTATCTGTGCTTCAGTTTGTCAGAGGATCGATCACTGATGTATTCTGTAAAGCACATGAAACAATAATCAAAATAAATTTAAGCAAATTAAATTTTTTAAATAGTTACAGATGTAAAGAGGGAATATATTTGGCGTATATATTTATATTTAAGACATTTATTAGTTACTATAGGATTCTGACGATGGTGTATAACACACTGATATATTGGGTTTTTGGACTTTATCCATCGTCCTGGTTTTTAAGATAACTAATAAAAACACGACGTTTCGGAAACTGGATCTGTTTCCGTCCTCAGGTGAAGGAAAACACCTATTCTGTCCACTGTCACTGGTCCAGTGATTGAGACTAGCTCTTTCTAACGGACACAACAGAATAGGTGTTTTCCTTCGCCTGAGGACGGAAACAGATCCAGTTTCCGAAACGTCGTGTTTTTATTAGTTATCTTAAAAACCAGGACGATGGATAAAGTCCAAAAACCCAATATATCAAAGGCATTTATTGTTTTAAAATTATCATACCAACTTAGGCAGTGGTAAATAATTAAGTAACCTGCTTAGAGTCTTCTGCACACTGACTTTCGTTTCTGCAATGTATTCTAGGTGCATTACATTAGGTTCTAACATGGTCACAATTTACCAGGTAAAAAGGGATCTCTTTTTCTTTTGTAAGGTTGCATCTTTCTTGTGCATACATTATACTAACCGCCTCACAAGCATATACAAATAAGAATTTACAGTTAAATTATTTCTCCTCACTACGTGTTTCGACCGGGTGCAGTCATCAAGTGAAAAGACAAATACTCTTAGATTATTGTTAAAACACATAAACTGATTTCTGTTAAAATATTTTATGTAAAAGTCCAAAAATACACAAAAACAAGTTGGGCTGGTCGCATCCAATCCATGCATTGCATAAACTGTTTTCAATATGAAGTTATGGTATATAAGATACATATCCCGGCACAAATATTTGTCTGAACATATTCGTATTCAGAGTTCATGTTACGTAATTTTGTCGAGCAACTTCATTATCGATGTAGACGATTTAATCTGAAAATAAATATAGGGTTATCGCATTCAGAGGGTTATAAATTTAATTCGATAAGCGCAATAATTACAGCAGAGGAGAGTTTTACTTACAATTATGACGTTGATCTCTGAANCGCATGGGAGGTAACGTCACATTGCCTTATAAACCATCATATAACATTGGTCGACTAGTGTTTGTTCTTGTCTCTGCAGAGTGAGTTATGATGTGTTCTGCGATTTATAATCCCGCCAGATGCGAAATTCGCGCTGTTATTCGCTTTCTTCACGCTACAAATATGATTGCTGCGAAAACTCACCGTGAAATATGTGCTCTTTACGGCCAAAATGTAGCGAGTGAGGTAACTGTAGGGCAGTGGTGAGGAATATTCAAAGATTGGCGAACAGATGTTCACGATGAAGAGTGAGTGGTCGGCTGGCAGTCTGTAATGAGTGATGATCTTGTTCGAAGTGCCGACCAAAATATTTATGAAAGAGAGTTTCACAATTTCAGAAGTTTCGTGTGAATTTCCACAAATTTCAAACACTGTTCTCCTCCACGAGATTATCACAATTAGGACGGGCTATCACAAGTTCTGCGCAAGATGCATTCTGAAAATGCTCACGGATACGCACCAAATGCAGAGAATGGCTTCGGCTTTGACTTCCTAGAGCAATGCCAGAAAGATGGCAATACATTCCTCAGTCACATCACAAAAGTAACAAGTGATGAAACCTAAGAGTAGTCAAAGCAGTGGATGCATACACAGTCACCACACAAGCCGAAAAGTTTAAACAAACGTCGTCTTCCTGCCAGATAGCTGATGGCACGATAAAGTGCTGACAAGGAATTCATGCAACAAGGGACCACAATAACGTCAAAAGTGTACTGCATGCAAAACACTAAAATAAACCGCCCAGGGTCATTCAGAATAAAAGGCGTGGAATGCTGACACCCAATGTGGTACTCCTCCCTGACAATGCGCGTCCATATGCAACTGTTTGTACTTGAGCACTGCTGGAGCATTTCAGCTGGGAGTTGTTTGACCACCTCTCTTGCTGTCCTGATCTCGCTCCCAGTGACTGCCACCTGTTCACCTATCTGAAGAACTGGCTGGGAGCACAGCGCTTCAGCAATAATGGGTACTTGATGGAAGTTGTCAAAACGTGGCTGAGATCACAGACGGAAGATTTCTTTGACATAGACAAACAAAAACTTATTCTCCGATAAAATGTCTGAATTCCGGCGGTGATTACGTTTAGAAACATTGGCTTACTATAAATACGACAGTGGGTCTGTTCAATTTTATCTGGTTTACAGGACATAATTATCGCGTTTGAATATGAAATGTCCGCTGGATATATAGAAGAAATGAGCGATATTTTCGCATACCACATACAAAGAAAGTTTTCGTAATTATACGAGAGAATGAATTACAATTTCCTTAAATGTCTTTAATGCCAATAAGTATGCAGAGTGAACCCCTTTCCCCATCTATCAGACAGTTAAGCAAATGGGTACGAGCCGGACGCCCTACGTTCGATTTTCATTACGGGGAACTTTTATTCTTGCTTTCAGGTTCCACTTCCTGTCCGGCGGCATGTATCTCGAATGTTTGCAGGTCTGCTCGCATTTGCAATTATTGTGCTTAAATACGTCTATGAAGCATTCGACTAGATAAGAAATGCATGGCTTTTATGACATTTGAAGCATTATTATTGTGTTCATGAGACCTCATCACTATTCACGATACTATGTCACTTGAATCCAGTCGTCATTGCCACACAGTGTTTATTAATGATTCTTTTTTTTTAGTTTTGTGGGATGGGGTGAAGCTGAGTCCACTTGGTACGTCAGCCACTAATTGGCCTATTGTACCACCCCCACACGATACATGAGTAAGAGCATTTGATGGAATGAGAATTGGCAAGGGAAGCCGAAGAACTTGGAGGAAACCTGTCCCAGTGCAACTTTCTCCACCACAAATCCCACGTGTTGACCTAGGATCGAACCCGGGTCTCCCCAGATACGTATCGAAAGGGTACAGATGGCTCTTTCGCCGCGACTAAGGCAGCTGAAGCGTGAAGCTGATCACCCTCTTCAACTAATTCCGAGTTCAAGAATACGTACCTTCCCATATGCGCCTTCATGGCGTAGTGGTTAATTAGTTAAGCACAGAGACAACGTTACTTTACCCTTAAATACTTAAATACTTAAATACGAGGGTTGGAACTTCAAAAGTGGCAACACTGCTGTAGAGATGCCATGCAACGGGACAAAATAATGTCGATTATACCACACGTTAGTTACATACCTCCCTTCCCACATCACGCGCATGCGCAGTGACGAGAAGAACAGAGCCTCGTGTTAGCTGGCGGTCTAATGTAGTGTTGTCACGATGTTTTCGAAACAGGAACAATGGAGTTGGATAAAGACTGAATGTGCCAGAGGCCGTACAGCACAACAGTGTCATCAAGATCTTTAAGAGGCTTGCAGGGAATCTGCCTTACAGAACAATGGCAAGGTGGGTAAAAGCCTTCAACGAGGGACGCCAAAATGTGGCAGACATGCGTTGGTCAGGTCGTTCTAGTGTCAGTGAAGAAGAAGTGTATGCTCTTTCCGCGTTACTGGAGAGTGATCGACGCCATACGATTCGTGAGCTGGCCCGAGAGACAGGGTTAGCGCATACGACTGTGCTTCACATTCTGAAGGAACGCCTGGACATGAGAAACATCGCATCATGATGGGTTCCGCATGATTTGACGGAAATGCACAAATAGCGACGATACGACGCTGCTCGTAACCACTTGGAGCGCTATGAGCGCGAAGGAGAGGCTTTCTTCCGCCGTATCATTACGCTGGACGAGACATGGGCCAAATCGTACAAGCCACAAACGAAACGCCAATCGAACGAATGGTGTCATTACGGGTCACCATGAAAATCAAAAGTTCGTCAGAACCCCAGCAATGTGAAAATTATGATGATTCTCGTGTACGACTGTGATGGTGTTATCCTAACGCATACCGTTACCCGACAGCAGACCGTCAATGTGCAGTATTACTGTTCATTCTTCGGAACACAATCTGCGACCAGCTTTGAGAAAGAAGTGGCAACACTTTCTGCAGAACCCACCCATCATTTTGCTGGACAACGTTCGGCCGCATGCAGCGCAAGCTGTGGCTGATTTGTTCGATCGATGGGGCTGGGAAGTGTTGCACCATCCAACATACTCCCCGGACTTAAGCCCTTGTGACTTCGACTCGATTCCTAAGATGAAGGAACCACTTCGTGGCATTCGCTTCAGAACTGTTCCAGAGATTCTTCAGGCAGTAGACCGCTCCATGCGAACTATCAACACAACAGGCGCTGCTAAAGGTATCCTACGACTTCCACATCGCTGGCAAAGGGTTGTACACAATGCTGGTGACTACATTGAAGGACAGTAAAACTTCGAAACATGCATCTGTTTTGTATCAGTTGTAAATAAATAGTTGCCACTATTAAAGTTCCAATCCTCGTATTATCCTCCAAACTATTCTTTCATCTCCCACTTGAGTTTTTCCTCTTCAGAACAATTAAAATCGTGTACCAGATTAGCAAACCTCCCTCGTCTTCATTTGATTTCCTTGACAGAAAGTTTCATGTCTGCAATAAGTATACCGGCTGATTGATGACTTTTATTACATGCTAAGATAATGAAATACAATAGTTACATGTTATACTGACATGCTGCTTCATTTTTGCACTGAGGAACGGAAATACTATTCTCATCAGCACGTTGATGAGAGAGGAGGTGTTGACCAGATGAACATCCATGCTCGCCCATGGACGCATCTGTAAACAGAAGTTTAAGAATATTTATAATTCTTACGTTCATTTAACTTCAAAGAAAGTGATTGGCCTAGTGATTTTTAACATTACTGTTCATGCATTCTTGGTATACGAAGTTACTGGGGGGAAGTTTTGTTAACCTCTTATGCCCACGGATGAACCTGTAAATACAAATTCATAGTATCTAGAAGATTTATAATATTTATATTAATTTAACTTCAAAAAAAATTCAGGTCATTGACTTTTAACATCAGTCTTCAAAAATTCTTGGCATATTGTGTTACCGGAGATAGGAGATGTTGACCACACGAAGATCCCCCAAGGATGCATTTGTAAACATAAATTCATAGTCTAGAAATTTCTTTTGATATTATTATACTAATTTAATTTCAAAGAAACTGTTAGGCCAGATATAGTTTAACATTATTTTTCAGGAATTCTTTGCATACAATGTTACTCTGTGCCTAGGGCAAGTGCACAAAAACTTGTTATCTGACAAATCATGAAGTTCTGTATGTGTAGTTTTGTCGCTGCGCACGAAAGTCACATGCTCTTAGACTTCAAACAAGGATTAGTATGTTGATTATCTTTCATATGTGAGTTGTTCCTTGACCTTTGTGAAAATCATCTTACTTGTGAGGCTGATTATCAAAAGAGGATATATCGTGAGATTAACAAAACGCATAAGCCACGTTTTGTGGTCCGTTCTTGATTAGAGAAATGGCCATTGACTAGAACAGGGAAACTATATTGGTTGGCGGATCATATCATCAGTTTACATAAGTATAAGAGTAAAAAGTAAAGTTGTCCTTGTGCCTAATCAATTAAGCACCATATCATGAATGCCTATGGATGGGTGGAGGTATAGCTCGACCATTCTGGACCTCAGCTCTAGATGGAGGTAGCGGTCACCTTCACGTCCCGGTCGCTTTACCACTGGGGTTAGAGCTCCTGTGCCCTCTGATTATTAAGTTAGGTGGGCCATAGTGCCGGTCTTGAGGCTGTGGAGGAAAGACAAATTTCTTTCTCCTGCCCGAGAAGGAAACCCAGCCTATGGTCCCTAGCCATACCGAATGAGCTACAGGTCTTCTACGTAAATTATAGGAATTATAAGTATTTATTGATGTAGTAAACCATAAATTTTTGCCTTCAATTTTTACTTTGAGTATAACATATTATAGGCATATAATTAACATTAGTTAAAAATTTTAAATTCATGAAGAAATACAATGCAATTTTTTTCTTCTTTACAGTATATGAATCATCCAACCTATTAAATTCTATTTGTAATGTAAGCGTACACATAAATGCGAAGCTATAATTTGTTACATTATAATCTTAATGCCTCGTCACGTGTTAGTGCAACGCTTTTGTTGGGCACAAGCTGGCCCGCGGGCCGGCCTCTGTAAACCAATGCCCTAGACAGTTGCTAGGAGGCAAGCAAGAAGACAGGTAAGGTGAGGAAGAAATAACGAAGAAGGACAGAAACAAAGAAAGATTGAAAGGAGCTGAGGAAAGGATCAATTATGTAAATTTCGGAGAAAGTATGTTATTTACCTTTCTTGCCTCATGACAAGTCGAATTACTTGTGAGGTTCCATTTGGTGACCAGCGCACAGAGTTCAATGAGTGGGCGGGTGGGTGAGTGAGTGAGAGAATGAATTAATGACTCGATCCATATTGAGACTGTTACATGTACAGCAGGTTCTTACCTCTTCCTTGAGTGAGCATTTGATTGTGGCTTTAGGGGTTAGGAATTTAAAGATCCGCATTGGAAGACCGCCCATATCCACTATTAGCACCATTCCGCTCTTCTGGGTCTCTTCTTCGTCCATCGCCAGTTCCATCCACATATCATTCACTTTCGAACAGTGCAGGAGGGTGATCTTCTCGGTGTCGATGTTATCTGCTCCATAAAATAAATATTCACAGCAGTAATAACCACCGCCATCACAATTGTCATTAGTGAGTAAACTACTTATCTGGCCGTTTCCCTAATCAGTGTAGGTACATAAGAACTTGGACCTAGGGTCTACTGGTCAGAGTTCCTGGCTCTCCACCTTTTTGCCATGAAAACATGCTTGTTTTTGAAGCCATTACTTAGCAATGCCTGCTTTATAGTTACTTGTTTCGCGGTCGTTGCCTAGCAACGAGTCTACACGCCACAATATTTTGGTGCTAGAAACTTAGTTGCTCTTGTGTGTTGCTGATTTCCTCATCCCCCCCCCCAACCCCGCTGTTGCCTTACAGAGGTTCTTTACTGAACCTAAATTGCTACTGTCAGTAGCTACATTACTGTATAATCGAAAGTATTTCAATAATTTCTTAGCGTACTGTAAAATATCATTTCTTATCTTCTGTTGGATCTAATGTTTAAAAATTGTCCTTGTAATTATGAGCTTCCATTTTAAGGAAGGAAATTTGCCAGATAATCTTTCGGCTACCGAAATAAGGCATACAAAAAAATGTGTTGCTAATGTAAAAGGTTCCGAGCATACATTAGGCCTGGGGAAATAAAACTCATATGAAACATCTAAATTTTCCTAAAGTAAGACACATTAATTACGTAATGTCTACTGAATTAAAACATACTGTCGCGTATCGGGCTTATATCGCGACAAATAACTTCACGATGTATTTTATATAGCGAATTTTATTTCACATTCGCACTTACAATCACCCAAATTACAGATTTACGATTACTGCTATCTGCAGTATCACAATTAGTACACTCCAAATGCCAGAATACCACTGACTAGTTGCTTGCTAACTCGGCAGTAGCTCCAGGACTCACTGACTGACTCAGTACAACTCGCTGGTAGCCACACTAGAACTGAACGTGAATAGCCTTCGCTGCTCCGTATGTAGCCTCGATCGGACAATACGGGAAAACAGCCACGTAATAGGCACCCTTTGCATGGCGCTGTGTTGCTATGTAACGCTAGCGGAGGTAACCGCTGTTACTACTTGGTGACGTCACCGCTGTTGACTTGCGTTGCCTAGCGACCAGGATGCTAGGACTNAAATTCTGTGAAAGAATTTCCTTGTATTCCGAAGGCGATTTGTTGCCGAAGTACTCCTCATGCATGGTCTTAAACTTGTAGACTTTGACCATCTGCGAAAGAAATTTGCTTAAGGATTTAAGCTTTCAGAGAGAGTAAATGTGATGAAGTTTTATCATGTCATCAGCCGTTTCAAAATGGAATGGATTCCCAAACTTTCTGAGCACTGGCTTTCTCCACCATTTTGGATTAATCGGCGAGGCAGTGACCGTTTTCTAATCCTTCGAAATCCACTCCATTTGACGTGAGCTTAGTTATTCTACTTATAATACACATGTTTAATTATTTATTTACTTATGAATACATAAACAGTATACAGTTTCAATTCTGGACAATGTAAGTAACGTGGGTTCTCCCACAGTATTGGACATACCTCACAAAATACTTCGAGTGTTATTACATCATTTGTGAAAGCAGAAACAGCTGTTTCGACTGCGGGTGCTTACCAATACACTGATTGAAATTTAAAATAACATCACCTATGCCCACATTTTGTTTATCGGAATTTCGTATCCACCAGATCTGTCATACTACCATCAGTATGGCAGTAGTATTTTCTTCACAATACGTGCAATGATTGGCCTCGCGGTCTAAGACATGAAATGTCTACGCTCGCTCGAACGCTGGGATCGTGAGTTCGAAACCCACTCAAGGCATGGATGTCTGTCTGCGTTTATTCTGTGTTTGTGCTGTTCTGCCTTGCGACGGGCTGACCCCCCCATCCAAAGAGTCTTACTTACTATCTAAGGTTAAGAAACTAAGTAAAAGGAAGTCTTTCACGGATACTTCAGCCTCAAGTGGGAGGAATGGGAATAAGACAGAAACGGAAATATGCAGTGATTAAACCGACGTGACTCTGTTTACAGTGAGTCATTTGTAGGATAGGAGTGCACTGAGTGAAACCTAGGTTCGCAGAGATTATTTTTTTTTCCTTGGCACTATAGCCCTAGTGGGCCTAGGCCTACCTCCATGAACTCCGTTCACTTCGGTTTTTCTAGATCTAACACATACGGTAGGACTCCTTGGACGAGTGATCAGCTCGTCGCAAGGCCTCTACCTGTACACAAACACAGAAAAACGCACACAAACATCCATGCCCTGAGTGGGATTCGAACCCACGATCCCGGCTTCCGAGTGATCGAAGACAGTGCATGCTTTAGACCGCTCGGCTACCGTGTCCGGCTCGCAGAGATTACAGAGGCCTATATTTTGTGCATCTTACTCCTCACAAACCTTAAAACATGCTATTCGTTACCTGTACACTACAGGAAGCTTCAAAGGTTCTCATTAAGATACTGAGCACAGTAACAAAATTATGAATTTGTTAAAATGGTTCATTAAAATACAATAAACTTGTTAACTTTTCTAAGTGTTCCCATTAGACATTTTTCCTTTGACCTCATTAATTATTTTCGTAAATTTGTCCCTGTGCTTAACTAATTAAGCACTATGCCATGAAGGCGTATGGGGGGTGGATGTATAGATCCACATTTTCTTGACCTCGGCACTAGTTTGAGGTGAGAGATCAGCTTCACGCACCGGCCGCTTTAACCCTAGGGAAATATCCACCTGTACACATTGGGTAGGAAGTTGGGTGGACACCAGAGCCGGTCTGCACGAGGTGAGGAAGAGAAAATTCTTGACCCTACTGGAACTCGAACCTCGACCCCTCGGTCGACCAGCTCGTAGCCAGTCACTGTAACGACCACGCTATCCCGGCTCCTAAATCCGGTGCAAAAGTAAATAAAATTATATATTTTTCAGAATGCAGATGAGTCTGGTTAATTGGGAAGAGTGCAAAATGAAACAACGGTAGTGTGTTAAAAAGCCACAGTATGACTGACTGCAGGTGGGCTTGCGGGATCCTAACACTATGGTACACACAAAATTTAGCTGAAGAATAAAATTGTCAGTGATGATGTCCCACGCACGAATCACAGACACACATACTTTCTAGCTGTATGGTTTGATCTTTTTAAGGGACAGGCCTTGGCATGAGCAGGGATTCTTCTTAGCCACCAGGTTCAGATCTGCCCTAGAGCCCACCCAGTGGATATCGGATATTCTTTCCTAGGAAGTAAAGTGGTTGGGAATCGAACCTGGTCATTCTCTAAACTCATTGCTAAGGTCTGCTATGCTTGAAAGTTTACTTCCAGATCCTACACGCATTCATGATTTGATACTTGGGCACAGCTAAGTTATTCCTGTGATTAATTGTTATGCCATGAATACGATAAGGGAGTGGAAGCAGCCTATATGTAAGGAAGCTACGGTCAATCCGAGACCCAGGGAGAGTGGCGAGTGGTGTGAAACCCCTTACTACTGTACCCACTGTGTATAATTGAATCGCCGTCCCCATAGAAAATGCAACATTCTGTATAGTTTAAAGCATGAATATGTGTTTCAGACAGCTTATATGCTGCAACATATTCGAAGTAAAAGTAAACGAGTAAATTTATCCCTATGCTTAATTAATTAAGCATCGCACCATGAAGACATGTTGGCGAGTGGAGGTATGGTTCTCCCATTCTTGACTTCGGCCCTAGAAGAAGATGATTGTCAGATTCACGGCCCGGCCGCTTTACTCACAGGGAAAGAGACCCCGGTACCCACTGGTTAGGAGTCTGGGAGGGCCCCAGACCTAGTCGGACGCTGTTGACTAGAGAAAAATCTCTTTCTCCTGCCTGGAATCGGACCTTGCCCATACGGACCGCACTTATTCGAAGTAGGGAAGAAAATGACAGGTTTCTTGTTTCTCAAGCTCCCTACGACTAAAGTTATTAGAGGATGACATACAGACAGCAAGGTGATCGCATAATCCTCCTTTTTTTTATTTGCTTCTCAAAATAAGGAAAGTAGACTAAGGGGGCGGGATGTTACTACTGGTGTGTTGTAAACGTGGTAACGGAAGGAGTTTTTTGAAATGTGAGTTAAATTAAATTTCTATCCTCGTAAAACAATATTATTTTAATATACGTAGTATGACATAACTATGTAACTGAGACAGTAAATCTCAGTGGCTGAATCCCTCTTGATAGCGCATCAGTATATCTCTTTTTATGGAATCTGAAATTTGATTACCCTATTCACAAATGTCTGGCGTTTACTGAAATAAATCCAGTCCAGAACCTCCCCAAATTATATCTTATCCCCCCGCGCATACACTGTCCTTCCATGTTACCTCTTTATTTCAGGCTTTCAGACCAACACCATCCTTTCCTCGAAATATAATTTATTTTCAAACCTTTTCGAAAGCTTCCGTAGGACTGAAATCGCTCGCCCTCAGGTATCGTAACATGAAGTTGTCGTCCATCCTCACTTTCAGATTCTTCTCCCCTGTTAATGGAGGCACTTTTAGTAAGCAGCGTAAAACCTTTCCCAGCATTTTACTTATTGATATAAAAAAAAAAAAAAAAATTGCAATGTATTCGGTTCTGTCCACTGGGGTAAGAATATGTAAGAACTAATACTAATATAAGAGTACAGAATACAATAAAAAAGAATTGTACAGTAACGTGTGAATCAATGACTCATTCTTTTACTACTTTCACTAAAATTCGCCAAGAAGACCTCAATATAAAATATACTGATTCCTTTTGAATCACTATTTAATAGTATTTATTCTCATTTGTCATACACCGTCAGTTACCATACATTTAAATTAAATGTGCGGTAGTCGAAACATGTCGGATAAACAGCCAATCCAAATGTGTTGTAGTCGGAACATGGGTAAACAGCCAACCTAAATGTGTTGTATTGGAAGCACGTCGGATAAACAGCCAATCCAAATGTGCTGTAGTCGAAACATGGGTAAACAGCCAACCTAAATGTGTTGTATTGGAAACATGTCGGATAAACAGCCAATCCAAATGTGTTGTAGTCGGAAGATGTCCGATAAACAGCCAATACAAATGTGTTGTAGTCGAAACATGGGTAAACAGCCAACCTAAATGTGTTGCATTGGAAACACGTCGGATAAACAGCCAATCCAAATGTGTTGTAGTCGGAAGATGTCGGATAAACAGCCAATCCAAATGTGTTGTAGTCGAAACATGGGTAAATAGCCAGCCTAAATGTGTTGTGTTGGAAACACGTCGGATAAACAGCCAATCCAAATGTGTTGTAGTCGGAAGATGTCGGATAAACAGCCAATCCAAATGTGTTGCAATTGACGGTATATGGTAAATGATAACAAACAACTTAATGGCAGGCAACTCACCCTTAAAATATTTAATAACATTTCGTAAATAAGGTAACGTTAGTTTCACTAAACCTCACCAAGAATATATGAATATAAAATTTGACCAGCTGGTTTAAAAAGAAACGTGGTTATTTCACGACAGTATATGTATAATATAGCATTAGTCTCACCTGAAACAAGAGTTCTTAAACTGCCTATAGCTTCATGAAGCTTGACCTTATCACCTTCTGTATTCCGCTTGTCATGTGGATGACCTTCAGATGAAGACTTCAGTTTGACTACCTTCGGCATATTCACTGTACGTACTACTACTACTGCCTCGTTCTGAGAACATCCGAACCGTAGGCAGACCTACCGAGGGAAGACAGCTTGGATATTATCTTTGCATAAAGTTATTCTTGTGTTATCTTGTATCATTAACTATCTATCTATCTATCTATCAATCACTCTGCAGCCCTATATTGGGTCTTTAGCTTTATCTTTATCTTTTACACATTCGGTAGGACTCCTTGGACGGAGGATCAGCCCCTTCGCAAGCCCGCTACCTGCACAGAGGACAGCACAAATACAGAATATACGCACAGACACACACATGCCTCAAGTGGGATTCGAACCCACGATCCCAGTGATTGAGAGGGCGAAAACAGTTCATGCTTTAGACCGCGCGGCCACTGTGATCGGCTTTATCATTAACTGCTAATAGATAAATATGTATTACTCGTGTCAGCTAAATGAATGATATTGGTAATCGTTTTATTCAACCTTCCACAATGAGGCTCGCCTCTGTTCACAGTTCAAAGTCAACCTTTTATGGTTTCCATATATCTATCAGAATCTGCCATGGTGTATGGGTTAGCGATTTATCTAAAAAATAATGATAATATATTTTTCAAACTGCATTATACATATTGAGCACCTTCTCATATGTTCGTTTTCAATTTTGTTTATTCGACTACATCCCACGTCGATGGGAGGGCAATATTAAGATGTATATTAAAAAATAGGAAATACACTGATTTGGCTGCGAAAGTGGTCAGTTGCGGGCTGCTGTCAAGGCAGTAATAAACTTTGGTGCTTCAAGAAAGGCATGGCATTTCTTGTCTAGCTAATCAACTGACCCCGTCTGAAGATGGACCCTGCTCCATGAAATTAGCTTGTTAAATTGGTTAATATTTCTTAAAATACGGTTAATCGCCGCTGCTTCAATATTACCGTTCCTTTTGTTCTATTTAGCCTCAGATAATTTCCATATAAAAGACATACGAACTGATATAACCCCGCAATATTCCAACTGTGTCACTTTAGTGTTCTGTTATCATGACACGACTATACTGATGTCAGTATATATACTGATAGTATTGTTTGCCTAGAACTCACCGATAAACGGACGAAACACATTGGAGACGATGCAATTACTGCAAAGTTCCAAAAGAACTGAGTACGTATATCATAAAGTTGAGACTGACCACGGTCTGGACAGCCGAGGAGTCAGAGTTCGAGTCCCGGTTGTATCAAGATTTTTCTCCTCTACGACGTCAGACCAGTTCTGGGGCCCATCCAGCCTCCTCTCCGTTAGGTATCGCAGACGTTCTTTAACCGGAGGTAAAGCGGCCGGGGCGTGAAGCTGATCGCTCAGCTTCAACTAATACCACGGTCAAGAATACGTGGATCTATACATCCACTCCCCCATCGGTCATCATGGTGTAGTGATTAATTAATGAAACACTGGAACAACTTCTCATTTATAGCATGAAGTAGAGAGGAAAAGGACAAAATCTGAACATAAGCCCTCTGTAATTTTGGAGGTAGTTCAAATGTGAACCTCCTGCACAGTCGAATTTAATTATGTAATGTCTAATCAGTCTGTTTTCTAAGGCCATAACATTTTGTAGTATAAAAATAAAAGTACACAGATCTCCAAAACGGATATTGCTACTGGCTATAGAAAGTTGCAGATTCATGTTTTGCGTAATTATGTAATGCGCCTGTGAAATGATAATCATCAGCACGTTTCATGGCTGCAGCTCCAGAAATTCTGGTGTGACGTTCTTCTGTTTGGAGGAGAACGAAATTTAAGTAAGGTTCAAAACGATAAAATTTATATAAATAAATACTGAATCTGTATCTGTAGTTAAATTAATTCTGTCTGGGCCAAATTTTGCTGATGGTGTAACTGCCAATGATATTATTGTTGTTAAACTGTTTTATTTTCATTTATTTGTACAAAATGTTGTGGCATGCAGACCCGTTGCTACGCAAAAACCTTAAAATAAACAATTACACAACGACCGTTACTAGGCAGCGGCCGTAAACAGCATCAGAGGAACGGCGTTTTCTGTGCGGTCCGTGCCGAGATGTTACAAGCTGGGCCACTTAGCTAGACAGACCCGTCCTCTCGTCAGAGAAGGCGCCCCACAGAAACAAGACCGTAACTGTCAAACGATAATAATTAATATCTGGTCATTAGCCCCAAATGGGGCTCGACACCAAGACTTACTGACCGACTGACTGACTGACCGTCAGTCGCAATGTGACTGACTGACTGACTGTTTAGTGTGTTAGTGAGAGATCGCTGAGTTTAAGTGATTGTGAGTTGCTGTTATAAGAAGCTGGTAGTTGAGGCACGCGAACAGTTCAGAAACCCAGAGGAAGGGGAAAGCGAGCGTTTGAAAGCCGCTACGAAGCAACGGCTAATGAACACTAACAGATTGAGAAGACGTACTGTATATTACAATGACCTGCGGAGTGTAGTAACGAGTTGTATAAGGGTGCAATAAATCCGATTACCAATCCAAACCCCGTGGTAGTGAATTATGTATTAAGGCCTATTCTGTAACAGTTTTCCTTGCGATGTTCTACGTCCCATTTATCTTTATTTTCATTATTTCAGTTTCAGTTCTACTGTCGGAGAAGTAATGAACTTTCAAACATTCCACGTTCTGGAAAAATTGTCTTTGTATTTCCTGAAATATTTACCTTATCTAAATACGTTTGGAGTAAACGTTTAAGACACCAGAATTGTATTTTATATCATGTATTAACTGTTTTCTGGGTGAACTTTTTTAATTTATTATACTGACCGAGCTATCCCAATGTGTTCTGTCCAGCTTCTTGACGTGAATTCTTTTAACAGTAGAATTGGTGTTATCATGTTCAAATATATGAGTATATATTTCACCAGAAGATACAAACAAACGCATAATTTTCATAATTGTGTCTGTTGATAAAGTCAAAGAAACACGTTTAAATAAGAGTAACCTATTCACGATGTCATCTTATTGTGACTAATTTGTTAGCCGCCCTGACTCGCTTATGAATTGTACTGAAATAAAGTAACAGGAAATCTGTTAAAACATTTGTATAAATTACATCAAGATAAATGCATATATTTCTACTACCTACAGTGCTATGGAGGTAACTGTTTAGGTATTAATTGCTCAAGTAACACAAAACACACTAAGCCACCACTGGGCACGAAACCAGTGAAACGACCAGAAGGCACACACATTGTAGCAAAGACAAGACCTACCACAACAAAAAAGAAATATACGACACGCAACACATGACATTTAAATAAGTTTGAATTATTTTAATATCAATCCAACTACACTGCATAATGAGAAGCTTTATAATTCGTACTATACGACAAATATAATTAAAATTATCAAATCAAGGAGTATGAGATGGGCAGGGCATGTAGCACGAACGGGGAGAAGAGAAATGCATCTAGGATATTGGCGGGAAAGACAGAAGGAAATAGAGCACTAGGGAGACATAGACGTAGGTAGGCGGACAATATTAAAATTAATCTTACGGAGATAGGATGGGGTGGTTTGGACTGGAAGGATCTGGCTCAGGATGGGGACCAGTGGAGGGCTCCTGTGAACACGGTAATGAACCTTCTGGTTCCAGAGATTGCTGGGAATTTCTGGAATATCTGCAAAATTTGTGGCTTCTAAAGAAGGGCTCAGCTCCTTAAAGTTAGTTAGTTGATTCGTTGGTTGGTTGGTTGGTTGGTTGGTGGGTGGGTAAATTGGTTAGATATCAAACTTGGTTTATTGAAACAAACGTTTAGACTCGCACGTCTTGAGCGTCACGAAATGCTGAATACAGTATAGCAATTTATACAAATCGTCATATACGGTCATATATATCTAATGATGGTCCCATGTGGCCAAAACGTATATGAAAACATATAACGATCTAAACAACTAAGAAAATATTGTATTTACAAGACTGTATATGTAAAGTGATTAAGAACTCACCTGTTAAAATATTTTTGCAGAAGATAAACAAATAACTTTTGCAGATATCCGTATTTTACTTACTTCGTAGAGCGGTTACGTACCTCCTCTTCCAAACCAGCCATCACAGGCCATCACTGTTACTGCCGTAACTTCGCAATATCGGCGAGCGGGCAGACCCTGACTCTCCGGGTCAGTGGCCTTGAGACAGTACACTGCGTTACATAAACACATATCCTGTATACACTTTTTATCAGTGAGAACTGCGTAGCTGTAGAGGTCAGCTTGTCACTCGGTTAGTTGAATGCCTTTCTTAAGACGCGCGGGAGATTTCTCTATCGGGGAGAATAATCGTGAGCAGGTTACTAATCATTATGCTCTGGTTAGGTTACCATGGTTTTTCTAAGTCGTTTCAAGAGAACTCCAATGTAGCATCTTGAAATAGGTTACTGTAACGCCAGCTTCCACAAGGGCACGTACTCCGGCAAGGTCAGCTCTGGGAACCAGCCGCCCCTTCTTTCTCTCTTTGCAACCCCGTCCAGGTCAGATGTGCAACCCAGTATCCTCTTGCTTCTCAGTTTGCAACCCCGTCAACCCCCAGCCACCACCTATTTCTTTCTTTGCAACTCCGTCCAGGCCAGCTGTGGGACCCAGCCACCTCCTCTTTCTCTCTTCTTAGCTCCGTCCAGGTCAGCTGTGGGACCCAGCATCCTCTTCGTTCTCTGTTTGGAACCCCGTCCAGGCCATTTGTGGGACCCAGCCACCCCTCCTACAGTGGATACCAGAAGCTCCTTTCTCCGATGACACAGCTGTCTGTAAATCTGACAAACATTTTCGTTTGGGGCCGAGTTTGAGAACGCGTGGAGCTTCATCGCCGAAACCATTAGGCATAGTCGTACGTCCTAAGGACGCAATGCCTAAGCTCAAAGACAGACTTATGTTTTTGACATAATCCTTTTCCTCTTTCATTTTATACCCATCTATTTCAGCTTTTCACATCTACCCTGTCGCGTTGTATTTATCTCCCTCCTTTCACAATAGTATTATTGCCTGTTGGTAAATTTGGTAACGACAGTGACAAATCAAAATTTGATTTAGGAGGAAATCAAAAGGAGGCTGAATTCAGATAATGCTGCTACCATTCAGTTCAGACCCTTTTGTCTTCTCGTCTGCTGTCTAATAACGTAAAAATTGAAATATAGAGAACTATAATTTTGCCTGTGGTTTTGTATGGTTGTGAAACTTTGTCTCTGGCATTAACGGAAGACCATACAATGAGGGTGTTTGGGAAGAGGGTGATGAGAATATTTGGGCCGAAGAAGGATGAAATGGTAGGAGGCTGGAAAAATCTGCATAATGAGAAGCTTCATAACTTATGCTCTTCGACACATATAATTAGAATGATCAAATCGACGAGGATGAGATGAGAAGGGCACGTAGCATTCAGGGGGGCAACGCAATAGAAAGACAGAGACGTAGGAGGGAGGATAATAATGAAATGGATCTTAAAGAAATATAACGGAGTGGTGTAGACTCGTTTAGCCTGGATTAGAATAGGGACCTGTGGCGGACTCTTGTGAACGCGTTAATGAACATTCGGATTTCATGAAATGTTCGGAAATTCTTGAGTTATTAAGCAGTTGGTGGCTTACCAAGAAGGGCTCAACTCCATGAAGTTAGTTAGCTCACATATCCATATCTCTGTAAACATAGTTCTCATCCGGGGTTTCCCCTTCCTTTTCGCATTTGTTTTATTTGACTCTGCTCTTTATGTATTTGAATTTCTGCTCCTAGATCCATCATTTCATTCTACAAACTTTTCCTTGTGGCTTACGTCATTATATTCTTCTCGTGTTTTTTCCTGTCCTCTGTCTCATTACATAGTACTAGCGTACGTTGACGAACTTTCGCAATGTTTTCTTCAGTTATGCTCGTTGCTGGCCATCCTGATATTTCTCTTTGTCAGTGACACTTCGCTTCCCTCAGAAAAAAGAAACATGTCACCCACTTGTAAACTGCTGTTTTCTTCATAGCATTATTCCGGTAAACTTGCACCAACATCTCTCTGATTTCGCTTCCGCTCTTGCCAAGTTTTTAAAAGAAGCTCCGACATTCTGGCGACGACACACCAAAACACACTCAGACAATAATACTACGCCACTCAGAAAGAGACTTCCATAGGTCAACAACAATACAGCTGTGAAACGATATGCCAATGTAATCAAACCATACTGAGGTTTATGTCCACTGCGTCTACGGCAAGCACACGGTGGCAAATTCGCGACCCTTTTTGTCAGACCACGTAATTTAGTAGAGTGCATCTCCGTCATTCCTGAACCACTCAAAAGCCATGCACAGTCGTCCTGACTCAATACTAGTTACTCGTAGGCATAAAATAAATTAAAGGTGACGTAACTGTTGAACGTTAAATTTCAAGCCCTTATCAAACTGAAGGAGACAAAATTGTACCCACATTAATGATAGATGTAGTGTTTTCAACGAAACAGTTGGTCTTAACCCTCCAAAGAAGCAACTTACGTATATGACAGCTAAAAGTTTGTGACAATAGTATATTGTGTTTCTGGAAATTATCCGTCATACTTTTTTTCTTCTTAACGTAAGTTTCACTTCCATACAAAAGTATAGGAGCACCCATCATTTTATTAAATTTATAATCTGTCTCTTTCCATATCTGTCGTTTGAATTATCCGTTATTGTCCTGTATATTTATTAACAAAGATGTATTTTGTTAATACAGTAGTCACCTTCATAATAAAGGTTGCTATTCCTAATAACTAAAACATGAAACTCTTTCCATAACAGAATTTATCTTCTTGCCAGAATCTCTTCCGTGAGTCAGAGTTAACAGTTTCCTACCAACCATCCTACTCGACTGAATTCCTCATCCTATAAATTTCAACGGTGAAGATGGAAAGAAAAGTTCCTTCGAAATATCTGCATCTACCTGTGGGTCACAAAACCCACCTTTACACCAACTTGACTGTTTAACTCAACCGATTCCTCATTCTGTATACTTCAACCCTGAATATGGAGACAGCATGTTTGCCCGAAACGTCTATATACTCGTACGTGGCTATACTGTGTCATTCCATAAGAATACAATGTGAAGTTTCGCCATCGCGAGAACTTCATAACTGGAATAAAATTTACATTCGTGAAGTTCTTAGGAGCAGAATAAATTCTGTAATATCATTCCTCTTAGGTAGGAAACTTGGCTTTTGTCGTCAGGAAAGAACTAGATTCACGGCATTTGGGAATATGATGTTAAGGATAATTCATTCATTCATTCATTCATCTGTAATCTGTCAAGACGACAGGTCCACAGTCTCTTCCAAAACAGTTCCTCCACTTGATGCCATCTAGAGCTTTCTCCTTCAAATGAGAATATCCTCTTTTGTCCCCAAAGGTCATCCAGCATCTTCTTACGTCTTCTTCCTCGTCTTCTGGTCACTTCTATCCGCCCCTCTATCTTCCCTTCAATAACTTCTTTTAGAAGGCAGTTACTGCGTAAGATATGACCAATCCAATTAGCCTTCCGTTTTCTTATTTCGTGTAGGATATTCCCCTGCTCACTGACTCCAATTGACACTTCTTCATTTCTCACATAATCGGTCCAACTGATTTTCTCCATCCTTCTCCAACAACACATTTCGAAGCTTTCCAGATATTTCTGATCTACTGCCCTAAGTGTCCAAGTTTCAGCCCCATACAAAGACATGCTCTAAATATAGCATTTCACTAGTTTCTTTCTCAAATTTAGGTCCAATTTGCTGGTAAAAAGATTCTTCTTCTTGCTAAATGCAGCTTTTGCCATGGCAATCCTAGATTTAATTTCACACTGTAACGTCAGAAACTACCGCCATGTCCCTCAACTAGAACCCCCATTCATTCCTTTTCCCCCTCTCCTCCTGCCCTACGCTTGCGCCCTTCATCCTTTCACAAGGGACTAGCAGGCTCGTCTGAACACTGCAAGGGGATTCTGCTGCACGCCGTGGAAGAGTCTGGTGCTTGTCTCGTCCCCAAATTAATTCTTGAACTTTTTGGTTTGCTAAATTAACGGCAGAGTTGGTACACGGTTTTACGTTATGCCGTCCTCATCTGGGACAGTTTGTATTTTTATTTCCCTCAACCAATTATATTATTATATTTATTTGGTGTGTGTATTGTTTAAAATATTTTTCTACCCCAAACCACTTTTCGGTCCTGGGCATTGGTACGTTTCAAAAAAAGTGGTAGCAGAGCATGGTTTGGAGTATTTGTGTTTTGGTTTGCTTGTTGGGACGTTTTGACTGTTTCTATTCTGTTTTCTGTTGATCATGACGTCTGAGCCTCTACTAGCCGAGTATCTACACAAGGACGAGCTGCAATATGAGCTGGCAGCTCGGGGGATTTCGACGGAACGGTTGAATGTCGCCGCACTCAGATCACTACTCAGGACCTCCCGGGATGTGGAGGAAAACATCGAGCTCCTGAGCAGTATGAAATGTCTAAAGGATCCAGCAGCAACCATTTCCTTGTATCGAGAGCAATTCCTCTAGATCAGGGAACTGGTAGAGAACACCGACAGCTCCCGCATTGCACTTGATCTCCCTCGCTATCTACATCGACTCCTCGACCTGGGTACTCGTCTCCGATATTTTCTGCAATTTGGGGGAAGTGCCCCAGAGTTCGAGGTTTCTGCCCAAACATTGCGTGAACAATTGGACGGCCTCTTAGGCGACATCAACACCGGTCTTCAGGGCGACGAGCTTGCGGCACCGGTCCCGGGCCCCTCTGGAAGTACTAACACACCTCAAGGTGATCAAGGTAGGCTCGAAGCGACTTTTCACCTCCCTGGGCGTGTGAATAAGGAGCATTTGAACCCCACCCGTAGGATTGTTGACGGCTCGAGCCAGAGTGGCGGGCAACCTACGTTGTCCAATTTACTTCCCCCAGGGGCCCCCCTTTACCCGCCGGTTATGGTTAATCCCACTTTTGTTTTCGCCAAGCTGCCGAGTCCCGTGCAACGCATATTTGATGGTCTTTCCCCCACAGATGGGTTGCATCTTGGCAACCTCATAAAATTTTTGCGCGTTTTAGTGCAGATTCGAGAAAGCCTGGTGGGTTTCCAAGTTCCCCCGCGTCACGTGCAGCAGGTCTTCCTTACTTTCACTAAAAGCGCATTGGC